TATTAAAAATTAGGAACTCAGTATTTGTAAATCTTGGAATCCAGACATGGAGATGAAAAGCTAAAGAGGAAAAAATACATAGCTGGTGTTAATATTGCCTATCAACCATAATAATCATTTTATTTTAGAAGATGTTTATTAGTGATCTCTATTAGTCTTAATTATGTGCAGGATAGTTATCATAGATACCCAGATAATGGACATTTCTGATGTTCTTCATTCAACTCTTTATAAACCCATATTCCCATCTACTGTCATTCCTATCTTCCTGTCTGAAGGACTTCCTGTACCATTTCTTGTAATGCAAGTCTTCTGGTGATACATTCCTTCAGCCTCTGTATGTGTTTAAAAACTCTTCAATATCTCTTCTTTTCTCAAAGATATTTTTGCTAGGTATAGAATTTTCGGTTGGCGGTTTCTGAGTATTTTAAAGATGTTGCTCTTTTATCTTGTGGCTCACGTTTCTGAAGTGTGTTGTCATTATTAACTTTTTTCTCTTGGCTGATTTTAAGATTTTTTTTCTTTCTCACTGGTTTTAAGCAATACAGTGTTATTTTTTTTATGCTTTTTGTGCTTAGATACAGATACAGGCTTTTTTTTTTACCCCATCACATTTGGAATATTTTCTACCATATTTCTTTAGATATTTTTTTTTAGCACTTCTCCTTTCTTTGGAGATGCCAGTTAGGTGTATATAAGTTGTCCCATGGCTCAATAATGTTCCGTTCATAATTTTATACTATGTCTTCTCTTTGTGTTTTTCATTGTTGATAGTTGATAAATTGCTTTAACTACAAGTGTTAATCTCATTCACTGTACTTTTTTAAAGTACATACATTGTATCTTTTATCTCTAGAAGTTTGATTTTAATCTTTCTTGTATATTGCAAGTCTCAGTTTTCAGTCTTTCATCTAACTTTTTAAGCATTTGGAATACAGTGATAGTAATTGTTTTCCTTCCCTTGTCTGAAGTCTATTTGTGTAATTTCAGGATTTGGTTCCATATAACTCTATCATCTGTGTAATTTTCAGGGTTTAGTTCTGTAGCATTGTTTTTCTTCATTATAAGTAGTATTTCCTTCTGTCTTCATATGCCTGATAACTTTTGTTAGTAATTGATTGACTCCCAGTCAGTATGAGTTTTACTTTGTTTGATGCTCAATGTTTTTATACTTTTATAGATAATATTCTTGAGGTTTTTTTTTCTGTTATATAATTAAGTTACTTGGGAACATGTTGATTCTTCAGAGTCTTGCTTTTTAAGCTTTGTTGGGTGAGATCTTAGCTGTGTTTAATTTTGGGCTATTTACCACTATTAAGACAGTATTCCTCTCTTCACTATGCCCTGCATATGCCAAGCCTTTTTCCCCTGATGGAAACAGGAGTTCTTCCTGCCCTGTGTGAGCTTTGCCAGTTGTTCTCTGCAAGGCAGAGTTTTTTAAACTTGGAACTATTGACATTTGGGGGTGGAAAATTATTGGGGGAAGGGATGGCAGGAGAGGGCAGGGGACCATCCTGTGTGCTGTCAGATGTTTAGGTGCATCCCTGACCTCTGTGCACTAGATGGCAGTAGCATCCCCCACACTGAGACAACCCAAAATGTCTCCAGACATTACTAAGTGGCTACTGGGGAGTAAAATTGTTCTCTACTGATAACCACTGCTCTAATCCTTTCTGGTAGTTTTTTGGTTTTTTGTTTTGTTTTGTTTTGTTTTTGTTTGTTTGTTTTTTTGTATGTATGCCTTGGCTAAGGATTCAGGGGGCACCTACTGAAGATCTCCGGAGCCCTGTGTCCATCCCGCTGTCTTCTCTTTCATACTCTTGAGACCTTGAGAACTTTAGTCTCTCATTCTCCCAGTGTTCCCAGCTTTGTTGTCTCAACTTAGCAAGACCAGTGGGTTCTACCCAGGGCCTTCTCCCCCACACAGCCAGCAAACTCTGGGCTTAAGAGGCTCACATTTGTTTCCTGTCTTCCGGTGACCACTGTCCTTCATTGTTTGGGTCCAGTGTTTTCCAAAACCATTGTTTCGTCTTTTTTTTTTTTTTAAGTTTTCTGTTTTTTAGTTATTTTCTAGTGGAGTTCTTAATAACTTCAACTTGGCTCTCATCCTCATTCTTGAATGATGCTTTTCCTAAATACACAATTTTGGGCTGGCTGTTATTTTTTCTAAGCATTTTCCAGATATTTTAACTGCCTTCTAGTTTCCACTGTTGCCAATCAGTCATCTCTCAGTCATTTTGTTTGTGTTTCCTTTCTGATGTTCTTCAGGTCTTCTCTCTTCAGTCTTTGGTGTGCTGTAGTTTCACTATGATATATCGAATCTTGCATTTCTTTTTATTGTTCCTGCTTCCTGATGGATACATTGGGTCTCCTGACTCTTCAGACTCCATCTCTCATTACTTGTCAAAAATTTCAGCCATTGTCTCTTCAGATATTTCTTCATCTTGATGCTGTTTATACTTTTACTTTGAAACTCAGGTCAGATGCAAAAAGCACCAGCCCCCAAGGAAAAAACATTAATTAGGCTTGTTAAAATTTGGATTCCTTGTTAGTCAAAAAACCCTAATAAGAAAGGGAAAGGGAAGCTACCAAACATGAGAATGCATTTGCCGCATATGTAATCAACAAAGGCTTGGGTCCAGTACGTTATAAAGAATTCTTACAAAACAGTAAGAAAAAGACAGATGGAATAGAAAAATGTGTGAGGATCTTGAACAGGCATCTTACAAAGACAGATTTCATTAGTTATAAGAAAAATGGAATTCCAACCATAAGAAGATACCATTATGCATCCAGAATGGTGAGATTGAAATTACTAATGTAAAATGTTGGGGATCATTTGATACAACTAGAACTCACTTAAGCTGTTGGTAAGAGTACAGTTGGGACAAGCACTTTGAAAAACTGTCTCTTATCTGGTAATGTTGAATATACTTAGAACCCATGACCCAGACTTTTCTTTCTCAAATATACTTGACCTTTGAACAATGCAGGGACTAGGGTCACTGACTCCCTACATGTTAGAAATTTGTGAACTTGTGTATAACTTTTGACTCCCCAGAATTTAACTACTGATAGCCAACTGTTGCTTAGAAGCCTTACCAACAGCAAAATATTTTGTGTGTTATATGTATTATATACTGTATTCTTCCAATAAACTAGAGAAAAGAAAATGTTAAGAAAATTATGAGGAAAATAAAATACATTTATAATACTGTATTTATCAAAAAATATCCACATATAAATGGACCCATGCGATTCAAACCGATGTTGTTCAAGGGCAAGCTATGCTTAACCCATATTGTGTGTGTGTGTGTGTGTGTGTGCACGCGCGCGCGTGTGTGTGCACACGTGCATGCATCAAAAGATAGGAAATATTAATAGTAGCACTATTTATAATAGCCAAGAACGGAAATCATTCTAAATGTCCCCCGAAGGCAGAGAAAATGTGAAATATACATACTTGGAAAAATGGACCATAGGTGAATGCACCTGGACCATTGAGAGGCTATTGCAATTCTCCAGGTAAACACAATGACATCAATGAGCTAGATCAGGTATCCCCCAACTTTTCCTATAAAAACGGTCTCTTGCTTCCACTCAGTTTTTGTTCTTGTAACATGACGGCAGCTATAAACAATACATAAATGAATGAAGAACATGTCACAGTAACATTTCATTTACAAAAACAGATGGCATCGTTTGCCAGTGTCTGCTCTAAGAGCTGAGAGAATAGAACACATTTTAGGATATATTTTGCAAGTAGATTTAACAGAATATAGATTGGGTGTTGAGGAGTGTAGGGTGGAGGAGAGATTTGTTTCAAGGATGATTTCTAGGCTTCTGGCTAGAGTAATTTATGGATTGTGGTGGTGGTGATAGAGAACAAGTTCGTTAAAAGTCTAAAACCCACTCTCCTAAAATAGTAGTGACATGTCAAGATTTGAGTGTTTTTCTGGTCTTTGGTCCAGAATGACAATGTGACTGTATTTTGTGGAGTTTTAGCCTAGGAAAACAGTAATGCCTAGGAAAACTTTTATTTTATTCTTTAAAAAAAATTTTTTTTAACATTTATTCATTTTTGAGAGTGAGAGAGACAGACCATGATCAGGGGAGGGTCAGAGAGAGAGGGAAACACAGAATCCGAAGGAGGCTCCAGGCTCTGAGCTGCCAGCACAGGGCCTGACGCGGGGCTTGAACTCACAGACCACGAGATCATGACCTGAGCCGAAGTCGGACACTTAACCAACTGAGCCACCCAGGCACCCCTATGTTATTCTTTTATACACATACTAGTTAACCTGTTACACAACAAATGAAAAGGTGAGAAAACAGGAGAAGAATAAAAGTAAATTGCATTGGTCAGTTCCTTTTGTGTTTGCTGCTAACAGTAGGAAGGGAAAAATACAGTTTTCTCAGACTCCTACTGGCTCATTGACAATGTACCTGTGGCCTCATTTTCTCCCTCCTAGCCAAAGTACTAAGCCCCCACCCCTGTCCCCAGCTGCCACCCTTATAAGGATGAACCAGAGAATATACAGGTGAGAGTACTTTTTTTAAAAAAATTTTTTTAACGTTTATTCATATTTGAGAGACAGAGACAGAGCATGGCGGGGAAGGGGCAGAGAGGGGGAGACACAGAATCTGAAACAGGCTCCAGGCTCTGAGCTGTCAGCACAGAGCCCGACGTGGGGCTCGAACTCACAGACTGTGAGATCATGACCTGAGCTGAAGTCGGATGCTCAACCGACTGAGCCACCCAGGCGTCCCAGGTGAGAGTACTTTGATGCTGATCTTGTCCTCCATGAGGGTAGGCAGCTAAGCAGAGCTGCTGTTGGCTGCTGTATGTACTCCCGTTCCTAAGATGCTCTTTTTCAAGTAGTTGCCTATGACCGTTGTTATGTCAACACTGTAACCCCAGTTTGATTTTCTTTATAGCTTGATGTGTTTGGGATTTTATATTTGATTGATTTTTCCCCCCCAAATTCTGACTTTGATAGGCTTTGCTCTCTGTACACGATACTGTGGCTCAGAAGAATTACGATCCGGTATTACCTCCTATGCCTGATGATATCGATGATGAGGAAGATTCCGTAAAAATCATTCGTCTGGTCAAAAATAGAGAACCGTTGGTGAGTTTTGGTATACGGTTTATGCTCAGATATGAGTAGGTACCATGATAAAACCAAATCTGATGGGGCCACACCATTTATTCCTCTCTTTATAACATAATTTTTCTGTGTTTTTAAGCTTTAAAATAAATAGAGCATACATGTCTAAAAAACAGTATGTAGAAAAATGAAAAAAAAAAAAAGCCAAATAAAACGGCAGCATTTTATTGGTTAGAACAATAATTTGTAAAATGTGATGTTGACCTTTGTAAAAGAAAGCATACCATGAGCTAGTCACAGCTGATTTAAGACTAAACGGTGCAACTAAAAATAATTGCTCTGGCTTTTCTAGAAAGCTGATTTATTTTAAAGTAAAGGAGAAATTAATCAATGCCTTTTATTTCAAAATGTTAATGTAGGGGCGCCTGGGTGGCTCAGTCGGTTAAGTGTCTGACTTCGGCTCAGGTCCTCATCTCACAGTTTGTGAGTTTGAGCCCCGCACTGGGCTCTCTGCTGTCAGCGCAAATCCCACTTTGGATCCTCTGTCCCTCTCTCTCTCTGGCCCTCCCTCACTCTCTCTCTCTCTCTCTCAAAAATAAATAAACATAGAAAACTGTAAATGTACCTATTTATTTTAGCACCGGAATTTATACAATGTCAAATTGCATCAAGGGGTCTGTGGTGAGCAGAATGGTGTTCCCCACCATGCCCAATGATGTCATGTACTAATCTTCAGAACCCGTGAAATACTACTTTAAATAGCAGAGGGACTTGTCAAGATTTGGTAAGGATCGTGAGATGGGAAGATTATCCTGGGTTACCTGGTGGGCCCCTTGTCATCACAAAGGTTTTTACTGAAGTGGGAAGGGCAGCACATCAGAGTTACAAAAAGGAGACATGATGATAAAAGCAAAGGTTGGTGTGATGTTGCCATGAGCCACGGAATGCCAGAAGCTTCTGGAAACTGGAAAAGGGGAGGATCAGATTCTCTCCTAGATCCTCCAGGGGGAACACAGCCTTGCTGACACCTTGACTTTAGCTTCAGGACCCTCATTTTGGCCCTCCTGTCTCCAGAACTGTAAGGTAACAAATCTGTGTCACAAAATTTGTGTGGCACATTTGTCATGGCAGCAGTAGGATAGTAGTACAGAGTGTCTCCATATTTTGCTGAAACTGCATTCAGAAGAAAAATAAATTCCACTGTCTAGCAGTTGATTTTAAATGTGTTGGGGGGTGCCTGGGTGGCGCAGTCGGTTAAGCGTCCAACTTCAGCCAGGTCACGATCTCGTGGTCCGTGAGTTCGAGCCCCGTGTCAGGCTCTGGGCTGATGGCTCGGAGCCTGGAGCCTGTTTCCGATTCTGTGTCTCCCTCTCTCTCTGCCCCTCCCCCGTTCATGCTCTGTCTCTCTCTGTCCAAAAAAAAAAAAAAAAAAAAAAAAAAAAAAAAGTTGAAAAAAAAATTTAAATGTGTTGGGGCCCATTTTTTTTCCTAATTGAGACATTTTGGTATTCTTAAAGCAAATAGCAGGGGATAATGCAATACTTGCTGGGCACTGTGTGAAGTACTTTACATATGTTACATTTATCCTCATAGTTGGTATCTCTTTTTCCATTTTTATAGACTAGGAAACGGATACGCAAAGAAGTGAAGGAACTTAACTTAAGTATTACAGCTAATGAGTGGTAGAATGGAGGTCCGGGCCCTTTACCTGCAAATACTAGTTTTTTTCTTCTACACCATATTTTGTCTGTCTACTTTTCCCTTATAGGTTTTTTTCATGTTCTTGTTTTGTTTAAGGGCAACTTTGGTACATTGATAACTACACTGGATACTCCTACCCAGAGAAAACACTCAGATAGATTTGATGTGATACAAAGGAATTTATTGAGGCCCTGATGCCCGCCCATGGATGTCCTCGGGCTCCCTGTATTCCTGGTTAAGATTAGTTAATGTACATTATAAGTTTGTGCCTTTAATATGTGGTTTATAACTCTGTAATGTCTCTTGGTATTTATTAAATAGAAGGTGATATACTTAGCAAGGATAGATGGCATGCATTTTGGATGTAGAAAGATCTTTCTCAGGGTCTATCACCATACAGTGACTAATTCTTGGTGGCTTCTGTGCATCCCTCGATAAATACATTTTTTTGTTTTGTTTTGACAACTTCAGGCACTTGGATAACCGAGAGGCTGACCATCTTGAGGAGTTCAGGAATTCATTAGGAATAATTTCTTTGATCAGTTGTAGTTTTCCCAGGGGCAGTGGCTTTTGGTGTGTTGGCTTCATGGGCTAACATTTAAAGCACCACCAGCAATGTTTATGTCCTGAGCCTCTCTTGATCAAAGAACATGTTCAAAATGTTTGTCAAAGCAATTAGGCATGCACTGCATTGAGATTTTTTCAAGTTTTAACTGGACCTGCTGCAAATTAGTTTCAATTTAAAAAGCAGTCGCGAATGAGGTATAGAAAATAACCTACAGTTGTGTTATCATCCTTTGTTACTGAGTATATCACATGCTTTATAGCTAGTAAGCATGTCACAGCTTAAATAATTCGATCTAACTTTGACATCATCATCCTTTGTTAGCTCTTTTTTGTCCAAGTTTATATAATATAGAATATTTAAGAGGAGAATCTGAACTGGGGTAAATGGCAAGTTAGAGTTGATCAGACCAGGCAAATATTTACATACACAGTGCAAGAGAAGAGAGGGAGTACAAAATACCCACAACGTTGTTACTTAGGTGAGGAGAAGTACCATGCATTTAGGTAGCAAGAATAGAAGGAAATGCATGGGAGTAAAAATTTCAAGTTTCCTTATGATTATTGGAGCCTGTGGGGCTCGGCAGGTGCTAGGAAGAGGCTAGAGATTTAGGAAAGGGAACCAGGTAAATTTAAAAATTGGTTGAATTGTTAATTTGTTCAAAAATTATTTCTCTTAAGCATGGGGATGTTTTCCGGATTTGTAACATTTGTATATGCAGGGGCTATCTTCAGCATTTCTTGGAATTGTTCAGTTCCTTATTCATGTACCATGGTTTAATTTGACAACTTTGTAATATACTTGAAAGCAACTTTCCTTTCTACTTCATCTCAAATGTGGGGTGTTTAAAAATTTTAATGCTGTTTCATTTGGATCCATAATTTTTATTCTGCTCTTTGCCTATTTTACATGAATTAAAAGTTGTCATATTCATTTTTCCATTATTTAAAAGTAAATTAATAAAAGTTTTTTTTCCCCAAACATATGCAGTTAACTTCTCTAAACTAGGTTTATGTTTTATATTATTTTTATGTTTAAGGCAATCTAAAGCAATTTCAAGTACTTTGAAGTTATTTTACTTTAAAAAATGACTGTAGTTACTTGTCCTTTGTCTTCCTTCTGAGCCACAATTGTGTGTTTCTTGTTCAAGGAACTGTATTTAAAAAAAATAAAAATAAAAAACTTCATATAGACAACACCATCTACATGGGACGAAGAAATTCCCAAATTATTTGTTAGGATTTCTGAGAAGAGTATTAAGATTTCAGATGTCATTTCAACCTTGGAATATGAAATCAAGTGAGGAGAATTACTTATCTTGAACTTTATTTCATCCAAATGATAATTAGTGTATTATTTTTAGTTTGACAGTTATAAAGGTAAAGTAGGATTCTTGGGTGAGTACATTTAAGGTTTAAAAAATGTACTACTCAGAAAAGTAGGAAATGGTTATTTTCAACAAACTTGTCATTTTACATTTGCCAAATGTCACTTGTCATTTTGGAGAGGTTCTCGGAAAAGCCACAACTACCAAAGGGGTAGAAAGTGGGGGAGAAGCGGAAGCCGAGAGAAGATTGAATCTAAGGCATCCTTAGGAGAATGAATCCAAGTGGTAAGAGTCAGAAATAGTTAAGACGCGAGAAGCAATGCTGAAGTAAAATTCTAGTGATTGGATCGTCAGGAAATTTTTGGCAAATGATTCCAGAGTAAAGGCTATAAGATTTAACAATGAAGGGGGGTTAGTTTATCCATATGATTTAAGAGTTTACTTTTGTCTGTTAGATTGAGGCATAATGTGGTGAAATAAACACCAGGCTTGGATTAGAGGACCTAAGTGGGAGGTACTCTGGTGTCCCTTCTTTGCTCTATATCCTTGCAGGACCAAGTCAGTTAATCTCACAGGCTGAGGCTTCTTGTTTGAAAATCAGGAGATCTGCCTCTTCAAGAGTGTTTTGAATGTCAAATAGCATATAATGTACTTGAAATGCTTTGTATGCATTATGCAAGCACTATATAAATGTTGTATAGAATGATACGTAGAAGCTCTCGATGACGGTTGTTGGAGAGGACCATTTCCAGGGTAAAGAGGCAGTGAGCACAGGTCATGTAGGTGTTTGCAATGGAAAGGTGAGATGGTGATAGTTTAAGGGGAGGGATGGATAAATGAATTGAGAGAAGGAGAGAAAAACAATGGTCAGGATGCAGGGAGCAGAGCTATCCTCCCTCCGCATGAATTTGGAACAATTTGTATCTGTTTTATGCAGAAATAATTAATAATAAATATTATTTTTTAGGCACCCTTTAAGAAAGTGACCTTCACTTAGTGAGTGAGTGGATTATGATCTTAATTTTCAGTTTCTTGTATGGGTTGTCCTTCTTGCTTCTTTTAGAACAGTGCTGCTCCAACTTTGGTATCCTAAGAATTACCTGAGGTGCTTACTTAAAACGCAAACTTCACCACCTCTACCCCCAGAGAGTCTGCATCAGTAGGTTTCAGGTGGGACCTGGGAATCTAGATTTTTTAAATGTCTCAGATGTTCTTGATGCAAATGTTTGGTAGATGATGTTTGAAACCACTTTGATTTCAAAGGTTCAACCTGGAATCAACAGCGCTACCTGCTTAAGGAGGTCTTAGAATATTGGCAGTATTGTAGGACATGCATTTTTTATGGAGACATCATGATAGCATGGGCTCATCAGGTCCTCTTTTATAAACCATTTTACAGCAGTAGCAAGACAAACGTAACCAGAATTT